GGGGGAGGAGGAGGAGGACTTTTCCTATTGCACCATTTACAGGAAAAAAGGGTGAGGGGGGAAGTAGCTTTGACATGTACTATGTCCTTGACTTCAGGGACAAAAAAACATCGTGCTCATTTAGTGTCTTTAATCTGTCTTTGAAACTCGAAGAAGATTCAATATGTTGTGTATCAACGTGGGTGAGAAGGCGCTGGTGGAGGGGCGGGCTGCCCTATCTATATGCCTCCTGCTGGAAGTGACAGGGAAGATTGGTAAGGCCTTTAATGTGATGCAGTACCTGTCAAACCATCCTATCAAGATAAGATCTAACCAATCCCTGCGGCCCAACCAGGGCTTCACTGCACACTCACAGCAATGCTGTGGAGCCTCCACACACACAGACATGCACTGAGCTCATTATGCAGAGAGTTAAAGAGGCTGCAGTACATTTGAAGTTGCACAAATAGGAACTGAACTGCTTCTCTGGATCCTGTTTCAGGTACATTTGTGGAATCATCAGATTCATTGTGATCAGCAGCTAAAGTAACCAATTCCCTTGCAGGGAGTGGGTAATGAGTGGAATAAAATTAATATCTGTGAAGTCATTAGTGTGTTTGCACTCTGTTGTAGCTCAAACAGAGTGCAGGTAACACCAGGTTACACTGCCATGAGTGGGACACCGGCTTTAGTTTATGTCTCGCCAAGCGCCTTTCCACAAATACTGAAACAGGTCCTTTAAAGAGGATTAGTTCCTCCCAGTGCTGTTAACATCATGCTTTATGAGGCTGGATATATATGTTGCAATGTACTTTCTAGGTTGCATGTTTGTTGCAGAAGCAGAGGAAGTGGCTACACATTGATAAATGACCTTTCTTGAGGCATGCGCTACTTTGTTTCCCTTCTCTGAAATAAATGGATACAATGTGAAAGCTAGCTACTTAATCATTTTGAATCTGGGAAACAGTGTTGAACATAATAATGGAGAAATTCAGTTCCCTTTTTTATTCTTCCCTCAAATCATGGCCTCTAGTTAATCTGTTATCAGTCCTGCAGGCTCCTAAAACACCCTTAATTCTCTTTTTAGGTACATTTATTGTAGAATGATTTATTTTATTTTCTCACAGTTTTTCCATTAT